TAATACTAACCGTCAGGGCATTTTATCGTGATTTATCGTGAAACCGGTAATCGTTCCATCCCTACTTTAGGCATTTTAATTTAAGCATGTTTAGCTTAGTTAACGGAAGGCTACCTGCTGCCATCAGAGCAAGTGTAATTACTGCATTCACGCGCTCCTCGGATGCTCTCATTTCCCGAGTTGTGCTTTTAAGTCGGAATGTGAAAACAACATGGACACTCTCGTTACTACAAAGATGTGTTGGATTTGTATTATTAGAGCTTTCCGACTTGAGTTCACATGCATTTTCTCAGTCGGAAATTATTTTTCACGTGGGGTGCCAGTGATGATGCTTTTACGTCCGTTTCGGAGAACCAGAGGACAAATATATCAATCGATCGCATGGCACCGAAATAAGGCACCGAAATCTGCGTTCGGATTCGGTTCTAGTACATACCGGTTACATAGGTACCGGGTTTCGGTACCCAACCCTATTAACGATTAGCGATTAATCTGCAAAAACGAGATATCGGTCGACCTCTAGTGTGTACTAGTTGCCAAGACAAGCATTTTGACATAAATTCCATTCAAGCGCAAGAACATGTGAAAGATAATTCAATTTGGCAGTTGCGGGCTGGCTGAGACCTGGCTGTGTGTACATGCCTCAGATATGTCACAAAGAAAACATCTCACACAGCGAAACTACCTAATTGTGTTCTCTTTTTCATCTTCTTGCACTTGAATGTTTAAATTGGTAAGGCTTAAACACACACAAATTATCAATAACTGTAAAATTATTTCATTAAGAAAAAACGTTCACTTCATTTATAATAAGACAGTAGTGTCATTATTCAGCACAATTCTGTTCAAGTTTCTCTCATCTGATAGTGTTAGTGTGGTCAAATCAACAATATTGCTAAATGTAAATTGTCACAGACTAACTAAGCCAAGGGAGCCCAAACCCCATCAGGTGACAGTAATCAAGCGTAGCGTTAGTTCTGGCAGGTCACGTTAGTCAAGCTCGCATCAGCTGACTCTCAGCTGATCCCCATCTACCTATAGGAATACGACACCTATCTAAGCATTCATATATAAGGTCCCTCAGTATTATCAGCAGTTTTCGCATTGCTCAATAGCTAATTACCCTCCTCCATCCCCAGCTCCTGCTCTGTCAGTCAGGATTCAGCCTTCTGATTATCCTTTGAATTAGACTAATTCTAAAATGTGTACATAAAATTATTGAACTTTAACGATATCTGCATACCACCAATCCAAACTGTATGCTAATTGTCAATCATCTTTGACGATAGTGGTCCTGACAGAAATGGAGAAAAAACCTTTGGAGAAAGTCAACATGCCTTTCTCTGGGTTGAGGTTATACCAAAGTCTTCATCCAAGTCATTGGCCCGAAACTTTGAAAAAATGAAAAGAAATAGGTGAAAATCAATAGAGAAAGAATTTGTATACGAGAGAGTACACAGATAACAGATTAGAAAAAAATATGACTTACCATTTCAGGACTCCCTATGTTTGTAGCATTATCAGAACTGGTGTGATGATCTGGACGGAGTGGGCTCGCTATGTTTGTGGCCTCATCAGAACTGATATGATGATCGGAGGTGAATGCCAGGGGTTTGGCAGCCTTCTTAGTCTTTGCCTGCTTTACCTGCACAAAAATGTTAATAAGGCATCACTAAGGAAAAACATCAAACAAGCATAAAAGAGGATGCTAGTTTCACAAGTGGTGGGTGAGGAGAGACTCCTCATATGATAGTGAAGCACTTTGAGTGTAGAATACTACATATTAAAGTGCTAGGCACTTTATGTGAATGGATATTATGAATCGAATGGATTCAGTACAATTCTTTTTTTAAATTTTTTATTCAAGTCCTGTTTATAAAGCATTCAAACTATAAAAATTTAGCCAAATCCTCAATAAGACAGTATGCATTACACTATGAAGACATTGTGGAAATTCATCCTCGGAGCTGGTGCGCTGATCTTGTGTGTCTAGGCCCCTGCTCTGAGAAAGGGAATTCTTCAGTTTTTGTAACATCTGGTCTCTGGCTGTCTCTTTGATCTTGGTTTGCTTTGCCTGAAGAAAATTTAAGGTTATGTAGCAATAAAAAAAAAAAAGTTTGTAATATCTTCACAATGTCCCATTCATGCTGACATACTGCAATTTGTTGCAAGGTTTTTTTTTCTGATTTGAAAATATTTTGGCAGCAGTCACAATGAATCAGTCCAGCCAAAACTTTATTTGATCATTTAATGTGATATCTGAGATTACTGCTGTGCTGGAGATGGCAGCTTGACACAGTTTATTTAGAAGCTTAATGTGATTAGAACAGTGTGAATAAAAATGCTGCATATCTTTTATGAAACTCATAACTTCATATTCTTTGGCTTTTTTATGAAATGGCCTTCCAATGAAAAAAACATTCCAGTGATCTTTGGTGGATTTACTTCAAAAATAATCAAACATCAAAATTAATCAAACCTATCGCAACAGGCGCATAATTGTTAGCTTGAAGAACACAGATTAACCATACACTGTCAATCGTGTAATTACTGTGTTCATGTTTAATCAGTCAAAACGTGTCTATCTGCTTATTATTCAGCTGCAGCAAAACATGTAAGGCACTGATTCTCAAAGTGTGGTAGTGGTACGCGGGCTCCCTCTAGTGGTATGCAGAGGAATCACTGAATGAAAAAAAATGAATGTTAAAACACTTTTAAAAAGTTTGCAAGGTGGCTACAAAACTGCTATCCTGGCTTCAATCTGGCAAGAGAAGTGTGGATCAGGAGGAGAATGTTTCAAGCACAAGAACTGAAGAGGACGAGAGTGAACCGAGCACAGGTGCTAACAATGATTACTTTGGTAGTGCTGGTGAAGTCCCCATAGCATCTGCTAGCAGCAGCAAACGATACAAAACAGTGCGAAATTATGACTCGAACTACATCAAATTTGGTTTTATTTGGAGCGGGGAAGAGAAAGAGCCCAGGCCGCAGTGTGTGGTATGTGGCAAAGTTCTTAGCAATGAATGTATGAAACCGTTGCTTCTCAAACGGCATCTCACAACCAAGCACACGGCGCTTAAGGACAAACCAGTGGATTTTTTTTTTACGAAAACGTAATGAACTGAAGCATTCAAAGTCCACCATTCAATCCTGTGGTACACCCATGATCAAAGCACAGGAAGCTTCATATCGTGCCAGCCTCCGGATCGCCAAAGCCGGTAAGCCGCACACAACTGGGGAACAACTGTGTCTACCTTTAGCCAAAGAGATGACACGCATCATGTGTGGAGAGAAAGCTGCCAAAGAGTTAAACTTGGTGCCACCAAGTGTCGTTTTGAACGACACTGTGTCACGGAGAATAAAAGACATGGCTGATGATGTTAAAAAGACACTGATTGAGCGCATTAAAAACAGTCAGTATTTTGCCATCCAGCTTGACGAGACTACAGATGTCGCAGATTTGGCCAATTTATTGGTTTACGTGAGATATGAATATGATGGTGCAGCTCAGGAGGACTTAATGTTCTGCCAGTCACTTGAGACCAGAACTACAGCAGAGCACATATTCCGGGTACTGGACGCGTTTATCCAAGAGAACAGTCTGGACTGGAAAAAGTGTGTGGGAGTGTGTACAGACGGAGCGAGGGCTATGACAGGTCATCACAGTGGAGTAGCAGCTCGCATCTGAGAGTTGGCACCTGGACTCACTGCAGCATCCATCGTGAGGCGCTGGCAGTGAAGAAGATGCCTGATGAATTGAAGTCTGTGCTGGACTCTGCTGTGAAAATTGTGAACTTCATTAAGGCCAGACCGATGAATGCTCGCTTATTTTGTGTGCTCTGTGAGGAGATGGGCAGTGAGCATGTCCAACTCTGGCTTCATACTGAAGTAAGGTGGCTATCAAGAGGAAAGGTGCTTTTGAGGCTTTTCGAATTGCACAAAGAGGTCCAGATGTTCTTACAGGACACAAATTTCCCCATGTCAGACATTTTCGAGGATACTGTGTGGCTCAGTCAGCTGGCATACTTGTCTGACATTTTTTCACGTTTAAACGAACTGAATTTGGGACTACAGGGACTCTCCATCAATGTCTTTGACGTGCAGGACAAAATCAATGCACTGCTGAAGAAGTTGGAGTTGAAATCAAAGTCAAGACAGGTGATGTTTCAGCTTTCCCTGCTTTGGAGAGTTTTCTGTCTGACAATGAACTGACGCTTGATGATGGAATCAGGGAGAACATCGCTGCACACCTTGTGTCGCTCAGACAACAGTTCCGTGATTATTTCCCAGTGATGCATGAAGCTGAAGCTAGCAGCTGGATGAGAAACCCTTTCGGCATCGACACCTCTCAAATGACTTCAGAGGACTTAACTGTTGGTGAGCAGGAGAGTTTAATAGAGTTGATTTGTGACGAAACATTGAAGGCAGCTTTCAGAAAGCAGACATTGTTGGACTTTTGGATAAAGCAGCATAGTGAATACCCTGTGCTTTCCGACAAGGCCGTGCGCTTTCTCCTTCCTTTTGCGACCACGTATCTGTGCGAGAAAGACTTCTCTTCACTTGATGTCATAAAAACAAAGTACAGAAGCAGGGTGGATGCTGAGCCAAACCTGAGACTGAAGCTGACCTCCATTGACCCAGACATCGCAGGACTGTGTTCACAGAGGCATGCACACCCATCACATTAAGCTCATGCAAGTTGTCACCAACATGAAGTATGTGTGTTTTAATTAAGTACAGTTGTTATTCTTAATGCTCTTCCTCACTTTTGTTTTATTCTTATTCTCGCTCGCTCTCTCTGTGTGTGTGTTTCTGTTTCAGAAAGTAGTTGTTGTACAAGTTTTGGACGCAGCAAGAAAGGCTTCGGTTGACATTAATACAATTGTTATGTTACAGCTTTTATTGTTACTCGCAGCTACACATACAGTATATAGACGGTTATTTTTTTTTATCAAGTACTGTAAATTTTTTACTTTACATTTAAGTATAGTACAGTTTTTTTTACTTTTTAAGTACAGTACAGTTTTTATTTAACATTTAGGTACAGTACATTTTAATTTAATCATTTAAGTTTTTTATTTACCTGTATGTAAGCACAGTGCAGTGATAATGTTAAAACTGTATTTACAATGTTTAAAGTGGCCGACAATAATAAATATTCTTATTAGGAATAAAACTGCCTCGTTTTTTAACTGTGCATAGCTGTAGCTGAATAATTAGGCCTACGCTACTGTATTTTACTGTTGGTCATTATGGTGGTACTTGGAGAGCCAAATATTTTCTGAGGTGGTACTTAGTGTGAAAAGTTTGAAAACCACTGATGTAAGGGATTACCTTGAACACTGTCTTTTTTATTTTACTTTTATGAGTCTTACTGGTGGACTTTCTATGTGAGGGAGATCTCTAGTTTGGACTTTCTATGTGAGGGAGATCTCTAGTTTGGACTTTCTATGTAATGCATATAGTGTGTATATCGCTCCATAATGCTTACAATCCCCCAATCTGAGTACACATATAGAAAAACAAAATACTACTCCTCGGGAAAGAAAATGAAAAATGAACATGAGAATCCATCCGTTTTTCTACAAATGAGCACAGTTGTGGACTACCTGAGGTACAGTGTTTAGTAAGGGACTCTGATGACAAGTGTACAGGAGATTTCGGATGCGTAGAGAGGCTCATATTTAACATTGCATGCATGAAATCAATTTTTAATTTAGAAAATCTTCTGGCAAATTAAGAAAATACTGTCACTATGAGACCACATTTTCAATATTAAATAAAGACTTATCTAATCCACTCACCAGCCTGGCTTTTTTAGCCTCCAACTCATTGTTGGTGTCCAACATTTTCTTTTTGATGCGAACACCCCTGCTTTCATATGTCCATATGTCTTTGTTGTTGTTCCATATGTGTTTTCCCAAAAGGAATAAAAAAATGTTTCAATGAGGGAGATCTCTAGTTTGGACTATGCATGAAATGCATATAGTGTGTATATCGCTCCATAATGCTTACAATCCCCCAATCTGAGTACACATATAGAAAAACAAAATACTACTCCTCGGGAAAGAAAATGAAAAATGAACATGAGAATCCATCCGTTTTTCTACAAATGAGCACAGTTGTGGACTACCTGAGGTACAGTGTTTAGTAAGGGACTCTGATGACAAGTGTACAGGAGATTTCGGATGCGTAGAGAGGCTCATATTTAACATTGCATGCATGAAATCAATTTTTAATTTAGAAAATCTTCTGGCAAATTAAGAAAATACTGTCACTATGAGACCACATTTTCAATATTAAATAAAGACTTATCTAATCCACTCACCAGCCTGGCTTTTTTAGCCTCCAACTCATTGTTGGTGTCCAACATTTTCTTTTTGATGCGAACACCCCTGCTTTCATATGTCCATATGTCTTTGTTGTTGTTCCATATGTGTTTTCCCAAAAGGAATAAAAAAATGTTTCAAGAAGAGGTCTTTGAACAAATCTGATATAACAAGTGTAAAGAAGTTTACACTTGCAAGCCTACACCTGCTACCAATAAAGCGACACAATAGCGCAATTAAATCAGGGGTTAAATAAAAAAATATATATTTTGACTGAAAATTTTTCCTCGGCCAAACCCCATTCCACAGCCATACCTGCCACAAACCCAGTTTAAGAGCAGTTTTTTTCTTCTTCTTGTAATTAGGACCGCTTGTCCTCCTAATTTAAAAAATGTAGGAGCACCTTCTGACCAATAAGCAAATTCTGATAAAAAATTAGCCTTCCTAATATGAGGTGATATTTGCCTCAAAGTGATTTACAGGGGCATTTTCTTTTTTCCTTTGTAATGGCATTTTTCTAATTTTATTAAAAGTATGTCATCATCTGTCAAATTCAAAAATGTATGTTTATAAGCTTTTTAAAATTTCTAATTAAAACAATATAATAGGAAGTAGAATAAGACAAATAAGTTGCCAATCATATGAAATTAGTATTAATAAAAAAAAACAAATTTGTACTACCGGTGACACAGAAGAACACAAAAGTGGCTTGTAGGTACATTTTCAGACGTTTAATGAGGCTCAGAGGTGGCATGAGTGCAATTAAATTGAAGATTAATGTTTTAAATATAACATTTTAAATATAGAAATATTCAATGATTTAAATAAATGAAATTATATGTTAAAAATGAAACAAAATCAGTCACTTGCAGCCACCTGCTGGCGGATTTAATCACGGAATCATTCATTCAATTGATTCGTTCGAATGGCTGATTCATTCAGGAATGAAGCAAGTGACTGTCTTTATGAATGGGTAATCATGAATCACTGATTCACTAGATTCGTTTAAACACGCACTTTGAATGAAACACCGCTGTTTGCTTTTAGAAATGCGCAACGGCTGAGCTGTTATTTTATTTGGAACTATTTTTGTTGACAAAATAGAGCAAAATCAGGCAGTAGTCTTATAGTCAGACAACATAAGTCTCTTAATTTTAACTTGTTGTTTATTGAACTGTTGTATTAAATCAATATCACATTTCCAGACTCCCTTAATAATCTTTAAAAGCTGTCACTCTCAGTTTATCGCGATCTGTGGGTGCACAGAAAATGGTCTATAAGAGAGTGCGCGAGCGAGTTCTCTTTCACTTTAAATAAGCAAGACTGAAAAGCACGTGCAAATGATACATTCCGTCATCTGTCATCGTGTTGTAAGCGCAGAATTCAACTGTGGGAATGAGTAAAATTATTATTAATAGCCGCAATCCTGCGCCGAAATTCAATTTCTGCTCTGTGTTCTCTGCTAATAACCAGACTGTGAATGATGCGAGCGTCGTCACTATGTTGTCACTGAGAAGCTGCAGCCGTAGTGACTGGGGTAAAGTTGGTTGCCTCTCGAGCTTTCACGAGACATCACGGAGACATTTCTCCGTTATGGGAACTCCTTCCCTTCCAACCTTTCCTGAAGTCCTATTGGCTCACACGAATCCAAATGACTGGCCAATTGTCACGAAGTATGCAAATAGCATGCAAATACTGACGAGCTCGAGAGGCAGTATAAAATGCAGTGCACGCGACAATTACGTCAGAATCTTCTACTTCACCTGCTGAATTCACTATGGCAACAATCTGCAAGACCTGCACGGGACCAATAGAGCCGCCGGATCAACGCGACCACTGCATGTTTATCAAGCAGCTTTGGAGGACACAAGTGAATAGGAAAATAAATTATATATCAATATTCCTATAAAATATTACATATTATGAAAACGTTACCAATTATTACTCCCATTATTACACTACATTTTTCATTACATGTTGCCCCAAGAACACATTAATATGCAAATTAGATACAGTTTATAGATAGATTATATGGAGTGAGTCTGCCCATTTAGGGCCATTTTTCCCACATATTGCATAAATTAAAATAGTATATCAATTAATTCCGTTATATCTTTCATAACATAGATGAGAATCATTTTTATACAAAGTTTATTAAAATAAATAAATAAATAAAATTGATAGGTGATCAAAAATTAAATAAAAGAAAAAAATTAAATAAAATTGTCCAGGGGCCTGTTCTTCGTACATCGCTAACTCAGTTAGCTGGATTTGATTGTTGACGATTTGGCATGATCTTGGATTGTTTGGTTCTTCGAAGCTCATCCCCAAGTTGCTGTACTGCGTAATTTAGATTATCTATACGCATGGTGTTAGTTTATATTTACTGTGTAAGCCACCTGTCTTAAATGAACAACACCGTTAGTGATATTTCTGCTTATGTTTTATATTGTTTTATAGTTGTTAATGTTATCATCCTTGTATTTTATTACAGAAACAACATGAAGAGGATCCTGTATACCCTGGTGCTCCCCTCACAAAGGGACAGAGTCTGCTTTTACTCATGTCGTATGTACTGAGGCACAATTTGACAGAAGTAGCTCTTCAGGATCTTCTTACTATGTTCAATGAACATTTCCCTGGCTTGGTGCCAGCAACCTCATATCTTTTTCATAAAGCATATGGACAGTTTGGCCAGTATGTGCCACATTTTTATTGTATCAACTGTGAAAGCAATTTGGGAGCTTCCAAGACAGCACCACAAAACTGCTCTACTGAATTTGACATAGAGAATAACCTAAGGGCTGGATATTACTTTCTTGTACTCAGTCTATCAACCCAAATAATTGACATTTTGGAAAAACCTGAGATACGTTTGAATAAGTCAAGTCAAGTCAAGTCACCTTTATTTATATAGCGCTTTTAACAATACAGATTGTGTCAAAGCAACTGAACAGCATTAATTAGGAAAAAAAAGGAATAAAAGGGAACCAATCCCAGACATTGTTTCTGATATGCAGTGTATGGCAGAATATCAAAAGATCAAGCAGAGTGGACAAATGGGGGCTGATGACATATTGATATTGTGGAATTGTGATGGAATCCTATTTTTAAAAGTAATAATGTTCAGATATGGCCAATCCAGTGTCAAATGACGTGACGTGACATGTGGCCAAGTATGGTTACCCATACTAGGAATTAGTGCTCTGCGTTTAACCCATCCTAAGTGCACACACACAGCAGTGAACAAACACACACCGTGAAGACACACCCGGAGCAGTGGGCAGCCATTTATGCTGCGGCGCCCGGGGAGCAGTTGGGGGTTCGGTGCCTTGCTCAAGGGCACCTCAGTCGTGGTA